AAAAAAACTATCATTACTCGTTGATAGTTGGCAGCAATACTATCGATAGTGTCAAGCGCTAATATCGATAGTCAGTGTAATGATAACAACTGTTCCAAATTAACCGGGACGGCATCGAAATAAAAAAATAAAATGATTGGGAAAAGAAACACACTTAGGGCCGTTTTCTCAAACAACCTTTAACTTTAAAGCTCACTTAATATATACCGATTGCTTTAAAATGTATAGTTGTGTCTAAAGTAAAGCGTCTTATTATCGAATTTTATTTATTTATTTAATATAATATTTATTTATAATTATTTATTAATATAATTTTTTTGATTTGTTTACAGCCAAGGAACATATGTCACACGTGAAAACCCGATAATAGGAATGCTTCTCTTTAGACATAGCTATAAGTTTTAAAGCAACGTTTAAATATAAAGGGAGCTTTTCAATTATAGGTTGGTTGAGAAAACGGCCCTTAAAGAAGGAAGCACAAAGAAAATATCACCTATAATACAAAAATTTGCAAAGTTACCAAACCGACGCGCAGCTACACAAAATGGAGAAGTTATGAATAAAATCGGTTGTGCTAGATGCGTTAAACTAACGATAGTCAACTAGTACTATCAATAGTTTAGAGTTTTACTGCCCGTCTCCACAGGATAAAGTTTATATCTTGATACATATGTTAGAATATAAATAGTCAATGGAGACCGCTCATTGCTCTTCAAGAGCAATATATATCAGAGCTTAAATCTTGCCATCTATTTCCGGAAATTTGGTAGTTTGACAGCTACATTTTCATTTGCACGAAAACTTGGTGGCTGCAACATCATTATTATTTTAATATAAAAGCAAAAATTGAGCTGTTTCCTGTTAAAACATTTGTAATTATGTTCTTGGATGTAAAATAGCCTATTTTCTACATTTTTTAAGCGATTAAATCCGGCAAAAATACATTTTCAAAGCTATCTTACAAATGCTAACATCAAGATTGGGTGGTTCACAAGGTGTCGTACTTGTCGTATTATTGTATGTTGTAAAGTTTTTAACGGCTAAATAAATATTTAGAGGACTTGAAATCACCACTAACTATTTTTTAATTGTGTGAAATTTCATAATAAAACTTTTATGTTAGCTTGCGAATTTCTTAAATATAGTTTTAGCCGTTTAAAGTTTATGACATACAACAGTACGACAGTATACAACTCCTTGTGAACTCCCTAGATATAAAAAGCCCACACAAATATTGCCACTGATATAACTTATATCTAGCGACCAAAATGACAGCTGGGCAGAAGTTGAGGAGCATCTGAAGACCTCTAACTTCACCTCTGGTGTGAGCAAGCTTTGGTCAACCGTGAGGTCACTGTCCAATCCGACGAAGCACGACGACAGAGTCAAAATTTCCTTCGGCGACCATGCTTCGTCGGACCCGGAGCGATGCGCGAGCTATTTTAGCCGGCAGTTCATACTGCATCCTCCGGGGGACAAAGCCAAGCGTCGAGTGACCAGAAGGCTGCACAAACTGCCAAAAACCTGTGCCCCCCTTGCTTTCACCTGCGGTGAAGTTCAGGTGGCCATCGGGAAGGCGAAAGCCTCCAAAGCCATGGGTCCCGACGGAATATGCATGCTGATGCTGAAAAATTTGCGTCCTGCGGGGGTAGCGTACCTAGCGGAGGTCCTCAACTTGTCTATGGCCACTCTCATCATCCCAGACATCTGGAAGGTGGGGAGAGTGGTCCCACTGCTCAAACCGGGGAAACCTGCCAACAAAGGAGATTCTTATCGTCCGATAACACTCCTTTCCCCGGTAGCGAAGACACTCGAGGCCTTACTACTCCCGTACTTCACAAACCACTTGACCCCAGCGAAGCATCAGCATGGTTTCCGTAAAGTGCACTGTACAACAACAGCACTTAACGGCATAAACACTCAGATAACTCGTGGCCTTAACCGAAACCGTCCCTGTGAGAGAACGATTCTAGTAGCTTTGTCAAAGGCGTTTGACACCGTCTGCCATTCCACGCTACTAGAAGATATAGAGGCCTTCTCTCTCCCACAGAGGCTCAAACGGTGGTCGGCAAATTATCTGAGTGGTCGACATTCGTCGGTAATGTTTAGAGACAAAACGAGTAAACAGAGGAAAATAAAACAGTGGGTTACACAGGGTGGTGTCCTTTCCACACTACTGTTTAACTTTTACATTTCAAAGCTCCCTCAACCACCAGAGGGAGTCGCGATTGTCTCTTATTCCGACGATTGCTCGATCATGGCGACTGGGAATGGAATTGATGACCTGTGTTCGAAAGTAAACGGGTATCTCTCCGAACTTTCTCGCTTCTTCACAGCAAAGTGTCTAGCCCTCTCCCCTACGAAATCCTCCGCGACCCTGTTCACAACCCGGATGAAGGAGGTCAGGCTACCGCTGGGGATTCACGTCGATGACACACCAATTCCGACGATGAATAACCCCAAAATACTCGGAGTAACATTCGACAGCCTGCTCTCCTTCTCTGCGCACGCAACCGCTATTGTCAATAAAGTACAGAGCCGCAACAAGGTCCTCAAGTCGCTAGCCGGCAGTACTTGGGGCAAAGACAAAGAAACGTTGCTGGCAACATACAAGGCAATAGGCCGGCCGGTTTTGAACTACGCAGCGCCAGTGTGGTCGCCGGGGACTAGTAGGACGCAGTGGACGAAGCTACAGACTGCACAGAACACCGCACTCAGGACAGCGGCAGGATGCTTACTGATGTCGCCCGAACACCATCTCCACGGCGAGACGCAAATGCTCCCCGTAAAGGAGCACAACATAATGCTCTGCAAGCAGTTCCTGATCGGGAGCCACAGAAGTGGCCACCCAAACAGACAGCTGCTTGCAGAGGGGCCCTCGCCTAGGCACGTCAGGAGGCATCTTTATGAACTGACGGACGAAGTCCAGAGGTTTATCAAGCAACCTCTGGACCCGTCAGCTTACCGGCTGGCCATGAACGGCATTCACAGGGAGTCAGTCTCGAGTTATGTAGACTCTAGACCTGTGAATGCCGTTCTAGGCATACCGCCCCCGGACACAGACGAGATTTCATCTGCCTCGGGAGACACGAACAACACTAGCACAACTTCGCTCCTTCTACTGCAGCAGGTTAAACTCCTACCTGAGTAGATTGAATGAGGATGTGCCAAATGAGTGTCCGGCATGCGGAGAGACCCCACATGACTCGAAACATCTCTTCGCATGCCCGGAAAACCCGACAACCCTAACGGCCTTGTCACTGTGGACCAACCCTACAGAAGCTGCACGCTTCCTAGGGCTGCCGTTAGTGGAACTTGACGACAACGACTGAGATACCAACCATCCTGGGCGGGGTTGTTGTAGCCGCTACAACAACAACAACAACAGCTGGGCAGCAATAAATTTTATCCTGTGGAGACGGCCAGTTAGAGAAAAACTATCACTACTCATCGATAGGGCCAAAAAATAGAGCTATCGATAGTACCATCGATACTTTGACACCTCTAATTTCCAGATTTACCTTGCACTTCTTTTCAATTTCACGCTCTCTTTGTACAGTTTTCCGTGAGTGGTTGCTGACCGTACTTAGTTTGGCACGTGTAGTTTCAACGAAACTAAAATATTTATTTTGCATTAATAAATCTTTAAAATCCTACATTAGAAATGGAGCGGGAAGAATTCTACGGTAAGTAAAAACGAGTAATTACTCGTTAGTATTTTAACTCAAAGGTTTCGAAGCCATACAAAAAAACAACTATGCAGTTCCCTGCTAATAGTCATATCTATGTGTTTGATTTTTTAGGAGTCACGCTTAGTGAAAAGGAGCCTTTAGCCCAATTCGAAATGGAGGAGCCACACACAACCGCCGAAGATCAAAAATTGGTTATTAAGCAGATCTGCCTGGGTGCTGAAGCTAAAGAAGGGGAATTCAATGTAGTACAGGTGAGTGCACGTTTAATGAATGCTTGTTGATGTAGCGTTAGGGGTGTGTGTGTTGGAGGAAAACGTGCCGCTTAAATGTTTTTTTTTATTGTACTTATAAATGGAGACGTATAATATATACGAGTGCGTATTTGTTTATACCGAAGCGAAGTGAATTAAGTAGCTGGAGAATTCCGAAAGAAATTAATTGTGCTATATACATGCATATTAAATCTTACATACATATTTAATATGCCTTGGTTGCATTACTTTCTATGGCAATTATCATAAAAAAACTGGTTGCGACTTTTGTTCGAACTTTTTGCTTATTCATTAGTCAGATTCCAGTATGATTGGTAATGTTCGGAATTAAAGAAGAGTTTATGTCAATGCTACCAGGCCACTATCTCAACTGGTCGATATCCATATATTCATCCTGTCTAACAACACCGTTTGTAGAACTAGCGACTACAGGACTGATGAATCGGTAGCTACCTGGTCAACTCCGTCAATTACCGACCGACTGCTTGCAGTGTATTTCAGCGATTACTTTTTCAAGGCATTGTCCTAGGCAGTGATCGGACTTCTACCACATTGTGGTAGATCTTCCACATTTTAGAGCATCTACGACATCTACCACACAAGGTCTGAAATCTACCACATATTCGCGTTTTTGAATCCCTAGTTTTATTTTTGCTCGACATAATTTTCTTAATTTTAAGAGCAAAAATTGTTCAAGTCTAAACACTATGGAATGATATAATACAAGATTCCGCATTCCCGGCGGCGATGAAATTTCTTAAGTAAAAGTAAATAAAGCTGAATGGGAGGATAAAATAAACTGTAAAATAGTAAATTTTCTCAATAATAAATTTTTCGTCAGGAAACGAGGTTTTATTACGTTAAATTTTAAAATATATGATTTATAAAAAAAAATTAGTAGCGAAACATAAAAAAACGGCGATCACTAGTAGCGGTTTCTGTAACGTGCCACATTTGTTCGCTACATCGTGATGTGATAGAATGAAACGCTGACATGTATGTTCGAAAAATATTTTGATATGGAAGGAACCGCTTTACACTGTCAGGCAAAAAATTGCCAAAACAGAATGCAATTTTTAGCAACTTCAATCTAGCACTTTTTTATACTAAAATAAATTTTTGTAGAGTAATTAAAAAGTTTGCAATTTATGTGAAACCTTACAGAATTTCTTTAATTTTAGTACAAAGTTTGATCCAAAACCGACATCTACCACATTTTTTTTAAATCTACCGCATTTTTTCCAGATTTTAACACAGAATTTTTTTTTAAGTCCGATCACTGGTCCTAGGCGGTAATCACCATCGGCTCTATATGCACTACCGGGAGTGCTCTATATGCACTACCGGGAGGTAGTCACTTGCGTGATTTATGGGCGCCCTCTGTCGTAGTGGTTCGCTATCCTGCTTACGACTGTTTCGACTCTGCACTACCATGTGCACTACCACGGGTTAATAGAGTAACTACTTACCTAGGAGTCTGTGCGGTAGCGGTCCAAAAGTAGCGATTGGCACCAGCAGGACTGGGGGGTACCTTAGCCTTATAGGTACTGGCTAAGCTAGCACGTTTATATCATTTTAGCAACAAAACTGTTAACTCCATAATTTAATAACAAGGCATTTCTTGTTGAAATTTTTTATTTTTATGGTGCATTTACATGGTATGAAGCCATACGAACTGTTGATACGCCAACGAAGAATTAAATGGTATCGAGTGGGATGCATATAATACATTTTTGCATATGAAAAATTATGGGGAGATACTGTAAACATACTGTTGTGAAACTGTGAAGCATATGAAATTATAGCAAGTTGGATTTTCATACATCTTCCCATAAAAATTTAACAGATGCAGAGATATCAAGGAGGTTTTTCCCCATTTTGATGCATTTTTTAAATAAAAACCCAACGAAAAGGAGGAAAGCTGACACGGTTATTTGTTTATTTCCGACTTTGTCATTTGTAATTTTTGCCATTTAATGCCTAGTGGAAATCCAGCATTAGAATTAGATTAAAATATGATATGCTATACGGAAAATTTTTAAATAACATATTTTATCACTGCAATTTTATTATTTCAATGTAAAACCACGCGATTGACGTTTGAAAAGGCCGAGTTTCCAACCTGCGCTATACTTTTTGGGTTTCCTTATTTCTTACAACTTCTTATATAATTTTTTGGTGGGTATGTATGTATGTACATATCAGGGTTGTTGCGAATATTCGCATTCACAACCGCGGAGCTTCCGAATTAGTTTTAACATCGCATTCGCTTTCGAATTCGCAATAATCAATGCGGAGCTTTTGCGTATGCGAATGTTGTGCAAGTGCACCGATAAAACGTATATATGGCAAACAAAATGACAAATTGTAGCCAATCCGCTCTATGTTGAATAATATCGTCATCGTCAGTAAAAGTGACGATACGGCCATCGTCAGCCATGTTACTGATGCGTTGACGATCGTCGACTATGACGATGACGATATTCAGCATAGGGTCGGCCTTATTTTTGCCTGTGGTCGTGGGAGTATTTGTGTAACAAAACTGGTCAAATTTCATATTTATCAACTTAGATAAAAATGTCTTTAAACGTATTATTTCTTAAGCTATATAACTGAGCTATCAATGAGCAGTCATACAAGTTCTCACTTCTACTTGACTTTTGACGTGCGTCAAAGAGGACATAGTCCTTTTATTTTATTTTTTCTGTGGTTTAAAAGCGTATATCTTACATTTCTTTAGAGAGCGTTTTGCTTCTAGTGCAAAATTTCAAACTTTTCATAGCCCTTTTTTATTGGTGACGCAATATGTGTATTAATTCCATCTTTGATGAACTGATCACTTTTATGGATGAAACATATGTACTCTAGGGTAGTCCAAAAATGTATGTGAAAAAGTAAAGTGGGAATTTTTATGCTCTCACCTCTAGGATTGTTCTATATCAAAAAAAATATATATCCCTACTTTTTATTTTGAAATCAAAATATATTTAGAGGTGGCTCAAAGCGCTCAAAGTTTTCCATGTATTTGATATGGAAACAAGTAAGAAAGTCTAAGTTCGGGCGGAGCCGAACATTAAATACCCGGCGCAAGTATTAAATATGTTTTTTCACCTTTCCGAAACCTTCCGCTAGATGGTAAGCCGGGGTGTATCAATTTTGAGTAAATTAGCGTCCTTCAATTTCGAAATATTGAAGTTTCAAGCATTTCTGAAATTTACCGTTATATGAGAAGCGGCCGTTATTTTAGTCCGATTTCAATAATTTTCAACGTTTTGCTTATATGTGGCAAGCACAATAACCACACCGAGTTTGGTACAAATTGGTAGAACGGTTACCGATGTGATCATAAGTGGGCGGTGCCATGCCCATTTTCCAAAATTTTACCATAGACGTATTTCTTGGTAAAGAATTGTTGCAAGTATCAATTTTGAATAAATTAGCTTCAATATTTACTGATTTATCGAAGATTTTGTATTTCTCTAAATTACCGTTATATGGGATGTGGGCGTGGTTATTGTCCGATTTTAAAAAGTTTCGGCCATTTGGTATGCTGTACCAGGGCCAACAACTGTGCCAAGTTTGGAAGAAATTGGTGCAGCGGTTACGAAGATATACACATGTAACCATAAGTGGGCGTGGCTACGCCCATTTTCCAAAAATTTATAATATTCTTATTTTTCGTCGAAAAATTATTGTAAATATCAATTTTGAGCGAATAATCTCCAGTAGTTACTAAAATATCGTAGTTTTCGTATTTCTGAAAATTACCGTTATATGGGAAGTAGGCGTGGTTATTGAGCGATTTTAAAAATTTTCGGCCATTTAGTATGTTGTGCGAAGGCCAACAACTGTGCCAAGTTTGGAAGAAATTGGTGCAGCGGTTACCAAGATATACGCATATAACCATAAGTGGGCGTGGCTACGCCCATTTTCCAAAAATTTGCAATATTCTTATTTTTCGTCTAAAACTTATTATAAATATCAATTTTGAGTGAATTATCTTTAGTAGTTACTAAAATATCGCAGTTTTCGTATTTCTGGAAATTACCGTTATATGGGAAGTGGGCGTGGTTAAAGTCCGATTTCGCCCATTTTCAATACCAACCTACCTTGGATTAAGGGAAACCTACATACCAAATTTCGTTAAGATATCTCAATTTTTGCTCGAGTTATCGTGTACACGGACAGACGGACAGACGGACAGACGGACAGACGGACAGACGGACGGACAGACAGACATGGCTTAATCGATTTCTTTTTTCATCCTGATCATTTATGTATACATTTGTCTATATCTATCTCGATTCGTTTTGGCTGTTACAAACAACCGTTATGTGAACAAAATTAATATACCCTTGTGCACAAGTGCGCTCGGGTATAAAAAAACACTGCTGAAGTCTAGAAAAAGAAGTCTGATGAGGAGATGTGGTGATCTCCGAAATGGCTGATATAACTTCTACCGCTTAGACTTTGTTGCTTTTTCCATTTTCCTAATAAAATAATCGTGGTACAAAGCTCAATAAAAATATAAAAACCACTTTTCGTAGAAATGGTATAGAATTCTTGAAAATCAATATTTTTCGATCAGCAAACCTCTTCAGAAGATTCCCAATAATATTACCCAATTATTATTTTAAACACTTTTTATAGTAACTATATTTTATTGGATCGCCAAAACCCCCAGAAAATGTCAGAAAATGCAAGGGGGAAGAAATAAAAAATCTTTGGTATTAAAAAATGGTTAAATAAACAATTGGGTATTCCGATCGAAAAATATTGATTTTCAAGAATTCCATTTCTAGGAAATGTTTTTATTTTCATATAAAATACATGGAAAACTCTTAGCGCTTCGAGCTCGAAATATTTTTTGATTTCAAAATAAAAAAATAGGGGTATATTTTTTCGATATAGAATAATCCTAGGGGGTGAGAGCATTAAAATTCCTACTTTACTTGTTTTGGACCACACTAATGTACACATCGCCCACGTTTTCCAAAAGTGTATCAACTCAAAATTTCCATACTATATGGAATAATGAAAAAATGGCGTGAATATGCCTTACTTTTTATTGGACAGTCTTTAAAGATTCTTTTCATTCACACTCTTATACATTTCATATATTTCAAATAACAGCTGTTAACAACTTACATTTTATATGCATTAACGCAATATTTATCTACTCACAGGTTGTAACCAGAATAAACCAAAAAGAAACTCTGAAAATCCCTATTGCCGTTCTTAAAGCTGGAGAAACTCGTGCCTTACGTCCCAATGTTGAATTCCTTAACACTTCAGTTACATTCAAATTAATCCAAGGCACAGGTCCTGTTCATATGTACGGACAAAATTTGTACGGTCAAATTTCAGGGGAAGAAGGCGGCGAACCAGCTTGGTACGAAAATGAAGAAATGGATGAGGATGATGTCGATGACGATGAATATGATGACGAAGCGTCGCCACCACCACAAACAAATGGCAAAAATAGCAATAAAAGAAAATAAGCATATTTGAGCATCAAAAGTTTAATAGTTTCCAAAAAAAAAGAAATTAATCATTTATTACAAAAATTCAACTATGTAATAATAACAAAACATACTTATTTTTGTACACTTTAGATAAGAATAATGACCATAGTAGGTACTTTATAAAATAAATAATTTCAAACATTCACAAGTAATTTTTAGCAAAAAAAAACCGACTCAAAAGAAAAATATATATATATCTATATATTTCATGATTCAATGATCGGATCTAAACCAAATTAGTATGAGACCTCCTCTGTGACACTACCTTTCCGTTGCAAAAAGAATTATCGATCGTGGTCAAAAGTTATGCGGTAATATACATAAAAAAAAAAAAAAATATTTCGACGAACTGATAACCTCTTCCTTTTTGGAAGTCGGTTAAAAACAAACTAAATAACAGTTTGTCATATTTGTTGCGAACCGCGCGCGATGAAAACCGCTTACATAGCACCAATTAACTTTAAAAAATATAGAAAACAAATCACTATACCATTATTTTTATAATGCAAACATAATTTTAATTTTTCTATACAATTTCCATTTATTTACTTTTAATGTTACATAGAAACTCTTTTTTAATAAGACTTTCTTTTTAAACCCAAGTGCTCTCTTGATACTTGCTCTTAATTATTTAAAACGTGTTTGAATACAGAATATGTTACATTTTGGTTTATTACTTACGCCTAACTAAGCTAAATACAAGACTATGTCGCGAAAGATTTATATATTTTTTATAAATTCATAATTTAAAAATGGATCCTAAAGAAAAATATTCATAACATTGTTGAACACGATTTGCAAATTTATTCGTACTATATGTATGTACATACATATAAATGTACAATATACTAAATACAGCCTTGACTAATGAGTATTTGTAAATGGATCTTTTTAATTTAGAAATCGCAGTAAGTGTTTTTTTCCAAATTACGGCAATTTGCCTATCACGAGTGGGTTGTTAATTTAAAATTATGGCGAATTACCCGCAGTCATAGTCAAAGCAGCTTCTTTTAAATTATTGTCAATCACAGACATTTTACAAGAATGCGACTAAACAGTCAGTCATATCAAAAGGAAAAATTACTGAGCATTGTTAAGGAATATGAGCATTTCAATAAAATACCAGTTAGTTTTTATTTACATATTTGAAAATCGGAAAGCGTAAAGTAAATAATAAACCTTTATAACTATAATTTCCTTAAAAAAGTTGCTTGCATTTATAGGAAATGAAAATTTCCGAAGTGATATTGCGAATGGAAACACACCGGATACCGGAATAAGGGTATTCGGTTGATGCCATTCGCGCGGATCTAATCCGATTGGCACTGTGATAACAAGAGAGTGCGAAGAATTAGATCCGTACGAATGCCACTCGTCGGATACCACAATAGGCGTGATTGTTTCTTCATTCGAAAGACCTCATAGCGCAAGTTGCATGTCTCACTGTCTGGTCGCGATTGCAACATCCAAAGTTTCGAAATATCCAACCATATCGCCTATGTGCTTTATAATTTTTAGGAATATTTGTTGACATGCAATCCGCAATAACACCATTACGAGAAATTTTTTAAATTTTCTGCAGCTTTCGAAACCAAAACATTCACTTACTTTCAATCTTCCCAATCGCGAATTCCATATGAACAAATATTCCCAAATATTATAAAGCAAAACAAAAACAAGTAAAGAAGTATATGATCCGCCGAAACCGAACTTTTTATACCCGGCACAGGTATCAAATATCGTCGTTTCAACTTTCTCTGAACTACCTTTGCATGATAAGTAGGGGTGTTTACCCAATTTCAAACGTTTTCGATAATATCCGGAATTAGGCTTAATCATATACAGTATCGGTCATATCTATAGCACGCCATTTCAAAGTGATATTGTGTGCCACTTATATGTATTTATTTATTTTTAAAAATTTTCAATTAAAATACAGTTCTTTCTCTAACAAACCCCATATAAACCCAAGTTTAACAATTTGTAGAAAACTTCAAAAAAGTGCAAAAAATTTTCAACTAAGTTTCAAACTTTTTTCTCGGAAGTGTTAGAATTTTTTCGAGTACACAGTTTTTTAGCCCCTTCAATTTTAGTCTGATAATGTGCAAGTTTCAAGTGGCTAAAAGTTACCGTTGATTTTTTAGAATTTTTTTCGCCAAAGGCGTTGCGGATTTCTTCCATATACAAATAAGTTGAGTTTATTCATTATATGGAAGCCAATGTGACAAAAAAAAATCTAAAAAATAAACGGTAATTCGTAGCCACTTCAAATTTGCTCATTATCAGACTAAAATTGAAGGGGCTAAAAAACTGTGTACTCAAAAAAATTCTAACACTTCCGAGAAAAAAGTTTGAAATTTATGTGAAAATTTGTTGCACTTTTTTGTAGCTTTCTACAAATTATTAAGCTTGGACTTGTATCTGGTTTGACTGAGAATGAACTATATTTAAATTGAAAATTCTTAAAAATTAATAAATAAACATATGTGACACACAATATCACTTTGAAATGGCGTGCTATAGATATGACCGATACTGAATGTAATACTCCTATATTGGCAGTAAGAGCTAGTACCGTCCGAAAACACTACAGTACAAATATATCAATAAACACGTATGAAAGAAAAGGTACACATATGTTTATAAATAAACATGTACACAACACATACCCAAAAACAGCACTCAAGTACACAATACATTGACAAAAACGGTACTAGACTGTCTCGCTTTGATTTCGGAATGCTTACACATTGAGAAGTTAGCTTACTGCCAATATAGAAGTATTACATATATGGGCTTAATGAGTTAAATGAACCTAGTTAGGTAGAAATCGATGAAGTGGTTACCGACCTTTGTAGTTATAAAGTGGGCGATGCTACGCCGAATTCCTAAAAGTCTATAGCAGACTTATTTATTGTTAGGAGATTGTTGTAACTATTAACTTGAAGTACATTAGCGTCCTCAGTAATTGAAATATCCGAGTTTTCGTATTTTTGAAATTTACCCTTATACGGGAAGCGGATGTAATTTTAGTCCGATTTGAATTATTTTCAACAAATTGCATTTCCGCACCAAGGTTATTAAGTGCATCGAGTTTGGTAGAAATTGATGAATCGGTTACCGAGATACACATTTGTGGTCATAAGTGGGCGGACCACGCCCATTGTCCAAAAATTTATACACTCCTATTCTGCAACTCTTTCGTATTCGGATTTTGCTACGAATCGTAGAAATAGTATTCTGCAATCCGAATCGTATTTCGAACTTTCGAAATTCGTAACAATGGCATGCCCAAAAACGAACGAGTACTCTTTTTTGCGTAGTTTTGTACGAAAACAATTTTGTGTCGGAGGCGAAATAAAAGATGTAAATCAATGTGTATTTGCAAGAAATATTGGTGGTATTAATTTAATCAGATAAATTTGCCATTCGCATATACGTATATTTTTATCCACTGTTTTATATAAACAAGCAAATAAGAATCTTTGTTGCCCCTTATCGAGAAACTTGGGTCCGGCTTAGTTATTTGTACAACGATTTTCTGTTGTTGTGGCCAAACGCATAGCCCGAACCCAAAAACTTTAACATACACGCATGGCGTAGCCAGGTAGGGGCAGGGGGGGGCTCCAAACCCCCCCCCCCCCCCCAACCTTTAAAATTTTCCTTATATATATATAAAATAGTACCCTTAAATACCAGCTTAATAGGGTCGAGCCCCCCCCTAAATTTCAATCTGGCTACGCCGATGCATACACGTGTAATCAAAGGATTCACATTTTTATACCCGAGCGCACTTGTGCACAAGGGTATATTAATTTTGTTCACATAACGGTTGTTTGTAACAACCAAAACGAATCGAGATAGATATAGACAAATGTATACATAAATGATCAGGATGAAAAAAGAAATCGATTAAGCCATGTCTGTCTGTCCGTCCGTCTGTCCGTGTACACGATAACTCGAGTAAAAATTGAGATATCCCAACGAAATTTGGTATGTAGGTTTCCCTTAATCCAAGGTAGGTTGCTATTGAAAATGGGCGAAATCGGACTGTAACCACGCCCACTTCCCATATAACGGTAATTTCCAGAAATACGAAAACTGCGATATTTTAGTAACTACTGAAGATAAAGCACTCAAAATTGGTATTTACAATAATTTTTTGACAAAAAATAAGAATATTATACATTTTTGGAAAATGGGCGTAGCCACGCCCACTTATGGTTACATGTGTATATCTTGGTAACCGCTGTACCAATTTCTACCAAACTTGGCACAGTTATCGGCCTTGGTACAGCATACAAAATCGCCGAAAATTTTTAAAATCGGACGATAACCACGCCCACATCCCATATAACGGTAATTTAGAGAAATACAAAATCTTCGATAAATCAGTAAATATTGAAGCTAATTTGTTCAAAATTGACGCTTGCAACAATTCTTTACCAAGAAATACGTTTGTGATAAATTTTTGGAAAATGGGCGTGGCACAGCCCACTTATGATCACATATATGTATCTCAGTAACCGTTCTACCAATTTGTACCAAACTCGGTGTGGTTATTGTGCTTGCCACATATAAGCAAACCGTTGAAAATTATTGAAATCGGACTAAAATAACGGCCGCTTCTCATATAACGGTAAATTTCAGAACTGCTTGAAACTTCAAAATCGAAATTTAAGGACTCTAATTTACTCAAAATTGATACGCCCCGGCTTACCATGTAGCCGTAGCTTTCGGTAAGGCGAAAAACATATATTTAATACGTGCGCCGGGTATTTAATGTTCGGCTCTGCCCGAACTTAGACTTTCTTACTTGTTTTAAGATAAATTTCGACGTGGGTTCTGCGCAAAAATGCTGTGGACGGCGTAGCCGGAGTGATATGCACTAGAAATGTTGTATACTTTTGACATGCGGAAGCCCCTCTTCCCCGCAGCACAGAAAGAATTCTACTTAGGAAGGATTATAATCCCTCAAAATATGTGGATTTTTCGTAGCGTAGCTACGAATTACGAATTACGAAAATTCGGGTTCTAGAATAAGGGGGATAATCTAATTTTCTGCTAAGTAGTTATTGCGATTATCGATTTTAAGTAAATTGGCCCCAGTAGTTACTGATTTACCGCAGTTTTCGGTACCGACTTTGGTAAGGATTGGTGGAGTGGCTACTGAGATACAGCATTTCATCATAAGAGGGCGGGGTCACGCCCATTTTCCTAAAATTTCATAACTATGTTTGACCACAATTCTGCTCCACATACTAATTTTTAACAATTTGCATGTAATATTTACTGAAATATCGTAGTTTTTGCATTTTTCGAAAATACCGTTATATGGGAAGTGGACGTGGTTACAATCCGATTTCGCACATTTTCAATACCAACCTACCTTGGATTAAGGGCAACCTACATACCAAATTTCGTTGAGATATCTCAATTTTTGCTCGAGTTTAGTGACCAGTCAAAACGTAGGAAAACTGCCTAGCTTTGTCAAGATTTTTCCCGCGAACACTTAACGTTCGCAGCACAATGAGCCTGCGAGCTAGAGGAAAGCGCAGTGAAGCCAAACAAGTTCTCGACACTATTAATCCCCCATCTGAAGAAACTTCTCTGAACTGCCGCATGTTTTTTTCGAATCACGAAATAAAGATTTCAAAGCGTATCGTGAACGTTTTAGCCGAAAAACTTCAAGGAAAGCTAACCTTGAAGATGTATTTCATCGTCTACTTTATTCTTCTGATCCTCATATTACGAGTTTAAGACCTTTACAAACAGTAAAAAGAAAATAATTTGATGTAGAAGTAAAAGACATGCTTTTAGAAGAGAATTTTGAATATACACAACCTGAATCTGATGATTATATAGACGAATAAAATTTGTATCGTGCCTTGTACCGTTTTGTTGTTGTTTCTATTTTAAGTAATCTTTATGTCCCGTTACCATAATTACAATTATCAATGTACAATGAATTAGTTTTTCAGTGTTTAGAACACGAAGTGACTTATTGGAAATAGTGGATGATCTGGGTTTATTATTTTTCTCTACATATTTTTCAATTTAACAACAGTGTTAGTACAGTAGTGTTAGTACACAAAGTAATGAAATAATATTATAAAAATAATATTATGGTTCCGTTTTGGATGTGTCTTCGTAGTTTTCAGGGGAAAAATCCGGTTACAGACTTTTGAGCACCAACTTGTATGAAGCGGCCCCATTGTGCGACGTCTCTTTTCATTCTGATCATTTATGTATACATTTGTCCATATCTATCTCGATTCGTTTTGGCTGTTACAAACAACCGTTATGCGAACAAAGTTAATATACCCTTGTGCACAAGTGCGCTCGGGTATAATAATCTTTCGCAATTTGTTTTTGTGCTACATTTTAAATTATGGGAACAATTTATTCACATGGAATTAGCAATATGGTTGAGTATTTCAGATTTCCCGCAGTTTAAACGTAGAACGCCGTCTTAGTATAAAAAGTGTTTTAATTTTACTATGACAACGTTAAAACCGTGCTTATCGTAAATACATTTTTATATTTTATGACCACGGGCTAATGGTTTGTTAAAACCAGTTTAACCAAATATATATATATAAACCATAGTATGTAATAGAGGGCATATATGTTAAATGAAGGTGTTATTGATGCTTTTTTAATTTAAAATCACAATTAAAAGCAGGAATACCATTCATTGGTTACGAAGTCCAAATACTTTCAGTCAAAGCTATACACTATTTACACGTACGCATTTACAAGGTTCTTGTGCGTCACCATATTTTCATTGAACTTGTTAATTTATACATATGCACCCATGCGGACACAGATTTTCGTATGACGCCCATCGCACTTAACAAACCATACCACCGCTGCGATCGACGAACAGGAAGTTTTACATGCGAGGCACAGATATTTTTTGACGGGGGACTCTGTAATCAATAATAAGCCAAATTAACATTTTCGAATTTAAATTTTTCTTAAAATTATGAAGTCACATGTATATTTATGTATAAATGTGGTTAAGTACATATTTATGTATGTTAATTGCTTTCGCATACAGGCAACAGTGCACGCGCACGCGCACACACGCACCTGATGTGTATAACGCGTCGGCGATCGCTGGGATGTATTAAGTCGAGTTTACGACTCCATTCCATCTGTTTAATTTCATGTCTTAGTTTTTTTCGATCAAAATATGAAATTACACAACTGGCAGGTATCCAGAATATGGATGTGATTACTACAACGGTCACTGTGAAACAAAACAAGAGTGAATTAGCATTGATAAAATTGGGAGTACTCATATCGCTACTTACTGACAATATTGTCTTTCAAAAAGCGCAAAACTCGATTAATATTTATCTCTTCGATAATGTCCCAAAAGCGTTCTACAACATCTTGTATCGTTTTTTCACATACACCCTAAAATTAAACAAAAGGTACAAGTTTAGATAGAAGGAATTTGATAAGAAATAAGTAATTTACTTTATTGCAGAATCCTTGTATGCACGGTGTTCCATCGGGCAACATATCCGGCGGTTCTACCGGAAAGCATGTTTCATTTATGCTCATGCGACAGCAACTGTAATTTTATGGAATTCAATTTATTAATACCTCTGGTTTACAGCAAAAATGTTATATGGATGCCAATATCCAATTCCTATGTTGAATTGCGCGGTGATTCCGAAAATCGAGTTATTTTTTTTTCTATGGATACGTTTTCAAGATATTTTCAATTTACCGTTATTCAGCTTAAAGCAATCAGTTTTTAATCACGTATATCTTACGAACCAATTCAAAAATCTTAATATAAAATACGGCAAATGAAAAGTAATGAAACCCTCCATAAACCTTATATACATCACTTTCCGATAGGGCTTATAGTTTCTGACAAATTAATTAATCATTCCAGCTTTTTTTATTTTTTAATGGAAAAATTTAAAAAATCAAACTTTAACAGACGAAAAATTTTAAAAATTACAGGATCTGTGCCATTCATTTCATTAAAAAATAAAAAAACTGGAATGATTAATTAATTTGTCAGAAGCTATCAGTCCTATCGGAAAGTGATGTATACATGGTTTATGAAGAATTTCATTAGCTTTCATTTTCCGTATTTCATATTTTTAAATTGGTTCGTAAGATATACGGTGCCGAACAGAAGTATTGGCACAGTGAATATTTCGCAATATATACAAAGTTCTTTATTCTAATTTATTTTGGATAATTTTTTATAAAAATATTGTTCACTCTACACCAGAAAACATAATAATAAAATCTCTAAACTTTGTGCAAAACTCAGGAAAATTCATTAAATTTGCACACTAACTTGCAACTTTTTATTCAGATTTTTTAGAAAAATTCTAAGTATGCAGTTTTATAGCCCATTCAAATTTAGTATAACAAAGTGCAAGTTTGAAGTCGCTAGAAAATCGCATTGATTTTTGGTAATTTTTTTTCACGCAAGTTCTTCCATACAAAGTAATTCGACAATTATTTTTTGTATGGAGAAAATGAGCAACACCTTCCACTAAAAAAATTGCCAAAAATCAACGCGATTTTCTAGCGACTTCAAACTTGCACTTTGTTATACTAAATTTGAATGGGCTATAAAACTCTAAAAAATCTGAATAAAAAGTTGCAAGTTAGTGTGCAAATTTATTTTCCAGAGTTTTGCACAAAGTTTAGAGATTTTATTATTATGTTTTCTGGTGTAGAATGAACAACATTTTTATAAAAAATTATCGAAAATAAATTAGAATAAAGAACTTTGCATATATTGCGAAAAATTCACTGTGCCAATACTTCTGTTCGGCACTGTACATGATTAAAAGGAACCGATTTTTGCTTTAAGCTGAATAACGGTAAATTGCAAATATCTCGAAAACGTATGCATAGAAAAAAATTAACCCTATTTTCGGAATCACCGAGCAATTCTACATAGAAATTGGATGGTGGCGTCTGGAGATCAAAAACCAAACTGTTTGTGGTCCAGTGTACTTAACGCTTGACGCTTAACGCCAATTGGCTTTGTGCTAATATTATAATTTAGCACATTAAACATTCTAAGATAATTACAGTGCAAGAACAATTAGAAATGATATTACCGCTTGCACGCATCCTGTATGATGTCACACATGCAGCTCTGCAAGCCTTGTGTCTCACAGTACGGTATGCATTTGCCGTTGCGACATTGACCGCGTTCTTGGCATATTGTTCCGTCTGCCATTGGTGGTGATTTTGGACACTCTGCATGCGTTCCCGAACAACGTGCTTCCTGTTCACAGGTGGCATACTGCGCGTCTCGGCAGTTCATGCCAGCCGGCATAAATTGGCAGTTTTGGCAGCATGGCGAGTTTTTATCGCTACACATGGCACCTTGATTTCGACGTAATTTACAGTTCTTATCGCAACATGCATCATTGTCCTCGGTCCCGAGCAGACCAGCGTCACATTGCTCGTCTCCCTCAACTCGCAAGTTTCCACAGAACGATTCTTCGGGCTCGGAAAAGCAACGACCTGACTTCGCTTGCAAAACTTTACGTATTGAACGTAGAGAGCACGGTGAGAATTTCTGTAGAAACAAGATTATACATACAGACACATATGTGCATACATAACAGGTATACATAGTGCATACATATCGCCCCCCTTATTCCAGAAACACGAATGTGTAATAAGTTGATTGTAAAAACAAATATTTTAAAGCAAGCTTTCTAAATATGAACGAAATCGGACCATAAATACTTGTTTACCAAATATATCGACTTGTTCGCCACATAGGCAAAATTTTTAGTGGAGTTATTCCTTTTCATGTAGTTAATATATGTTCTAAATATAAACCAATTTGTACTATAAATACGGGTTTTTCAAACATCTCGACTCTTGCGCTATCTATCGGCTTAACTCATCTTTCGTATTGCATTGTCATCGGGTTCTGAGCCAACTGTAAAGTTTCAAGTCTCTAGGTCTAGGGAAGCTTGTCTAAAACTGATTTCAAAATTTGCCCCTAACAAACATACATACCCAGAATAGATAATTTAGGTAGGCCTTCTTATCTAAAGCCATTCTAAAAGGACTACCCAAGAAGGCCTGAAAAAAGTGTTTCCCTTGCATGCCTTCTAAAAGGGCTTATCCATTTACAATTTACGCGAATGCATAAATTTATATTGTTAAGCATTACAAATGAATTTTAATAAACATTTAAAGCCGAAATAACACATATTTCATAAAATTAAGCAATACTTCAAAGATGTTTGATGATTTTTATAAATTAAAGAAGCGATTTTAAAAGAACTCCTCCAAAAGGCCTTCTGAAGTACGTCCTATAAAATCCCTTCTGGAAGGCATCCATACGAAAAACAAAGGAGAAAGGAATGTAGAGGGGAAGGCTTCTTGACTCTCAGGAAGGCCTTTCGGAAGGGCTTTTAACTCTTGAAATGAACTACTGGGTTATTTCACCTGTTTATTGCGCCATGATGAAAATGTAGGGGAATCAAGTTTTTTTAAGAGACTTAACTCTACGATCATGTCATTGAAATTATAAAATATGCGGTTTCTCTGTATGCAAGGTATTCTGGGGTTTGGTATAACATAGAACATCCAAAGGTTAATCAAGCCAATAACTCAAAATTCGTAAATTTGCACATTTATGCTTCTGCCATAAGGGAACGATATGTAGATACATATATCGTGATCATCAATGTAAATGGCCTTATTGAAATATTTTCGGGAATGCGGTTTTTATATAGGTCCCTATTCCGTTAGTTAGCTCCCACATTCAAAGCCATATATTAAAAAGTGTGAGATAAATTAGCATCTTTGTAAGCTCTGGGAGCTTTTCCTATGTAAATATAAAAAGTTGTTTGTCTCTGCAAAATTGTATACATACTAAACATCTGCGCAATTTCATTTAAATGGCCTAACAAGACATCCGATCGCCGCGCAAATACTTTCCCTCCCTTTACTCTCATCGTTCCACTTAAGTGTGAGTAAGCACAACCCAGTTTCTGCAAGCGTAAGTAAACTACCGATCAATAGAAAGAAAATAGAAAGTTAATTTGCCTTCCACAGCTACTGCGCGTAAAAGGTATTTGCAAGTAGTGTACTCTACTGGTAGTACTTGAGTAGATTCGAAGAAAACATACATTTGTGGTATCTAAATAAAACTAAGGACAGGAATGTAGTGGAGCGATGAAGAGAGCGACGAGCAAAACGTACTTTCAACCAGTGTGGCCAGAACTTTTTGGACCAACCGGCTAAATTGGCTAATAAAGACGGCTAAACTGTTTCAAGTAAATTTCTCATGTTTTTTTTTTATAAATCACAAGTAGAAAGACTATGTAGTTCTTGGAGAGAAGTTGGCAATTCAAGCTGGAAAAATTTTGCAAGCTAAATTTGCAATTAAGAAAAACATGATTGTGGCACATGGTTGGATTTTTTGTCGACGATAATTAGAATAAACAAGTTCATAAAATTTAAAAATTTAAAAACACGAGCGATTTTAAAATGAAAAATTTAAGTAAATACTTGTTGTAATTAATTTAGTTAATTCCGATGATTTGAAAGGTACTCGGCTGAAAAGAACTGTATTCGTAATCGGAATGCAATATCAACCAGAGTCGATATAGGAAACCCGACAGTTACTACGACAAAGAAATTGAAACGTATGTTGAAGAAAGTCGGACTAACAAGAAATTTACATGTAGATCCTTTGTTTTGCTCCTCTGAAAGAATTTTAAAAATTCTATACAAATTTCTTGTGTTTGAAATGCAACCGTGGATACTAGCTGGCAGGGAAACTTGCAAATTCCTGCAAACTTGCGTTTGTGCAGAAATTTGCAAGTTTCTCTACTTGAGAGAGAATTTGGGAGCATTTTTCGGTACTATCTGATATTTTTAGTGATAACTCTCGCTGGATTTTCGACGAACAAACCTATTGTCTTCCCAGAAAGTTTTGCTTTACATAGAAATTGGAGCTCTTTTATTTTCATTTTGACGCATTTCAGTTCAAGTTGGCCTTCGGTTTTTTGAATTTAAATAAGCTCTCAGCAAAAATAAGTTTTTAAAAAAATACATACAGTAGCTCACAGCTTATTTCAACCAACGTGGATATAGAACTTTATTTGATTGTAGCTTTTAAACTAAACGGAACATCAAACAAATTTCAATGCAAACTAGTAGATTAATATTGCTATAATACCTAATTAAGTGTATCTATTTTCAAAGATGTGTTTTCAACCATTTTTTAATACAAAAACTAAAAATAGTGAAAACTATAATGTCACAGCTTATTTCAACCAACTAATCAAATATGAATATATATATAGCATTAGTTTAAGTTTTTGATATTTCAGTAGTTTGTATGTCCTCCTTTCATATCTATTACCGATTTCAATCTTTTTGGAACCGACTGGACTACTTTTCGTGTTATCTCGGGACTCATTTTTGCCCATTCTTCGGATAAAGCGTTTTTCAGATCGTTTTGCTTGAAATTTTATGTTTGCGAATATTTTGATCTAATATCGCCCATAAATTTTCGATCACGTTCAGATCAGGTGATTGAGCCGGTGGAGCCATCAAGTGAGGGCAATTCCATATAAGCCCCGATTGAACAATGCCCGACTTATGTTTCTGGTCATTGTCTTGATAATACCGAAAATGTGATCGAATTCCGAGATTTTGCGCACTTTGTAGTAGATTCGCTTTCAAAATATTAATATACATTGTTTTGTCCATCGTATCATCTATAAATGTCAAGTTACCAACACCTGCTGCCGACATACAAGCCCAAACCATGACGTGTCCACCTCCGTGTTTTACTGTCGCCTTCAAATTTTTATTCTGCAGCTCAGTATTTGGCTTGCGCCATACATACGACGGGCCGTCGGAGAAAAAAATGTTAAATTTCGACTCGTCAGCAAATAACACTTGGTCCCAAAAACTGAAGTCCTTGTGAACATGCTCTTTTGCAAACCGAAGGCGGCTTTGTTGAATTTTTTGGCTGATGAAGGGCTTTTTGCGTGCTACTCTGCCATTAAATCCGTATTTGCGCAGAACTCTACGAACCGTTTCCGCACTGCTTGACTTTCCCAGCTCATTGCTTATGTCAGTTGCCAGTTTGGGGGCCGTTTGCTTGGGGTTTTCCCTTATCTTACGCAAAATATAATAGGGGTATTCTCGAAGTCTTGCACGATGCACGGATTGCACGAAATGCAAAAATACTATTCCAAATTTCGAAGAGTACGAGAACACCCCATTGCAAAGTGGTAGCATGCATGGGGAGCAAGCAGCGAAATTATGTATCAAATACAATAACAAGAGACAGCAAAAAAAAATTAAGTGAGCGAGATGAGAGGAATGAGAGAAATATGTAGCAATTCCAACAACAAAACAACTAGCACAGGGTCGCTATTATCTTGCTATGCTATTTTGCAAAATATATACATGGGTTTCGACGTTGCATATTTTGCAGCGATAGGAAATGTTGTTTCCCATGAATTTTCTTGTTGTGTGTTTGCAATTTATGCAATCCGTGCTACGTGCAATGGCTTTGCAAGATTTGGAGAATACCCCTAATGCTCATCAGAACCATTGAAAATTTTGTTTGGCGCGATTCTGCCTTTGTTATGGCCTTTGTTTTCGCGCACAAAGCATGATATAATGCACTGTACCGTTGAGTCGCTTAAATTTACCATTTCAGCAATTTCCCGGCGCGAGTGTCCATTTTTGAAGTGGCTGAGGACCAACTCTCGCTGCTCAATGGTGGTGCGTCGTCCCATCTTCGAAAAAAACCGTTTATAATCAAGTTCGATGTCAACCAAATTTTTAAGATGTTATAGCTTCGCACGAAAATGACAGGAAAATTAAAAAAAAATAGAATTTTACATGAAAAACGATGGCTTCTTCGACCAAATATGTCTGGTTGAAATAAGCTGTGATATTGTAGTTAGCACTATTTTTGGTTTTTATATTAAAAAATTGTTTAAAACGTATCTTTAAAAATAAATTCAATTAATTTGGTACTGTAGCGATATTGGTCTATTGGTTTGCATTTACATTTTTTTAATATTCGGTCTAGTTTGAAATTTATAATTACTTGAACTTCTAAACTCATGCTGGTTGAAATAAGCTGTGAGCCACTGTATGTATGTGTACATAGTGCTTGAAAATATCAATTTTTCCCTTACCTTAAATCTTTAAGCGTGGGCAATAATGATGTTTTGTAATTAAGGCAGAGTTGAATTTGCGCCTTCTGGGAAGACAATACCTGTAATATTTATCCTATGTGTTGGCACTATATCCAAACAAAAACTCGTGTTAAGCAAACAGTGAAACAATTTATTATTTTCTAAGTTTGTGAATAACTTAAATTTAAGACATTCATAACAAACATTTTATGAAGAAAATCCCCGCTACGGCCATCTTTAGAAAAAATATATTCGCTTTAAATAAAAATAAGCGAAATCGGCCCAATTTTTATAACCCTGCCTGACATGAACATTTTCTTCGCGATAAGGCTAGTAGCCATTTGAATATCTGAATATTTCAGCCCTATTCTAATAAAACCTCACA